AAATATTTGCTGTCAACCAAGGATGTTAAATTGTGGCTTCAATACTTGACGCAAATTTCTGTGAACAGGAAAAGAGGTGCTGGAAAAGCAAAAGCAACAAGAGAAAAGCGGAGCAAGGGAAAGTAACTCAGGAACGAATTTCTTTTACTACATTTATTTTCTATAGGATCTCTCATATATCTTGTTTAATAAAGTATTAGAAAGTGTTCCTAATTTTCGTAACTTAAAATTAATTGGTCCCGGAGCGGGGCATTTGCCATTGGCAGCTTGCCCGATTGCTGAGTATTTGCCTTCTTGCCTTTCCCCGGCAGCGGGGAAATTGAACTATTAAAACGAAAAAAATCAAATGCCCGGCCATATTCCCGGGGGGGGGATGGTAACTCTTGGAATTGACTCATGCATTACTATAAATGCTTTATTTGATTGTCGGATGGCGCGTGCCTATAGATTGCACAAGCCAGAGTGTCGCGTGACACATGTCGTAAGAAACATAAATTGGCTTTAATTCGGATGGTAATCATTTTACGTTCTGAAAAGCTTTCAATGACTAATTCCGTTGTAATTATTAAATATCGTTGTTTTTCATAACCTATGGCTAGAGATATAAACATCTAGTAATATGCAAATAAAAATGGCGATATCTTTCACAAACAACTAACGAATTTTGACAGCAAGAGACATTATGTGTAAACACCCGCAAAACTGCAGCGGAATTTACACGGATCAGGATAGACCTAGTCCAATTATAGAGAAGCGTTTATATGGCGTAGTGTAAACGTAGTCTTAGATTGCATATATAGACACTTGTATTATGGTAGTAAACTTAACATAATTATATAGAATGCGCTGTTTATTGTTACTTTTTTCTAATCACATCCAGAAAAGTCTATACTTCCGACGATTTTGTGTTTATTGCAAATAACATTTGATACTTGTAGACAGGGCCTAAGTCAATATTTATACAACCTCCATGAAGAAGCAATATGCTTCCATAGAAACTTGGAGTGATATTTTCGAAGTGATATTTCCAGCAAAGATAGCTTGAGTCAATTTATTATATGATATTTTCGTCCTGCAAGAAATATTTTCGATTTTGTCGAGCAGGGGTGGATTTAGGATTTTCAAACATCAGTCATGGAACGCCGGAGGTGTTTCGAACCTGGGGGGTGTCTCCGAGGCATTCTCTCCTGAATTTCAAAGCCTTGGAAATGCCATTTTCAGCGTTTTAGAGCAATACAAACTGTTTTTTGTAGGCATCGTTTTTCCGTGAAAACAATATATTTTTCTTATGTTTTTTCAAAAAAAACTAAAGTGAACAATACTTGAATGTTTTGCCAATTATTTAGGCTCATTATCATGCCAAATATAAGGCTCATTGCCATGCCTAGGAACATAAAATTTACTTGACAATAATGCTATTCTAAAAAAGATATAATCTTTAAAATTTTCTACCAAGTTGTCAGGCATAGACCCCCCAGAGACCCCCATTCACACCTCTATATAATGAGTTAAAATAGAAATGAGGTACTACAAGGGACAGTTCATAGATGTAGAAAATTTCAGACTTCAAACCATGCAACCCTTTACCCATCTCCACATAGAGTGGCAGGAAATTTACCTTTGGAGAAAAAACTCAAAACATTTTTCTGCTAAAGGTTAGACAAAGATTATCAGGGTAAAAATTTGCAATTAAGGACAGCTTAATGTTATTGATGTTTATTAGGAATTTCACTAGACTATTATCTTCTGTAAGTTTATGCAAGGTTTGCTATATAGCAATTACCAGAAGCATTGTATTTGCCAATACAAACAGAATGTAATGGGGTAACCAACATGCCTTTAATCATATAATTACATGAATGTTAAAATTGGTTCAAAATTGCACATTCTTTTTTGAAACGAATCATGAAGCCCAATCATCGAACGACTATGTCGAAAAAGGAATTTAATTTATTTGGGATATGTAGGTACTTAAAGTTTTAAAGCTTCGCCATGAAAGCTCTGTGGTTATCAAATAAAAAAACAAATGAAGAAATAAAGAAAATGTATGTACAACTCAACTACTCAAGGTTTTATTTTTGGTGAAATTCTTTAAATTCTTAACTCTTATATATAAAACAACTACAGCTATCTCAATAAATTGATTAATCTTGTTTCTCTGTCCTGATATAACTACTAAAGTTGTGATGCCACTTTACCTAAGTAGCTAAAATATCAATAAGCATCAAGTAATAAAGTAAATGGTTTGAACCCGGGAGTATCGTTACATGTTTGTAAATGTACATCGTCCAGGTTGGTATAGTCCTGAGAAGGACTGTTGTTGTTGTTGTTGACTGACGTTTCGACAACTTTAGCAGTAGTCATCTTCAGAGTTAAAAAAAAATATTTTTTTTTGACTCTGAAGATGAAAAAAAAATTTTTAACTCTGAAGATGACTACCGCTAAGGCTGTCGAAACGTCAGTCAACAACAACAAAAAATTTCCTTCTCAGGACTATACCAACCTGGGCGATCTACATTTACAATTAAGCATCACGTAAAACATATATACCATTTACTCATAACGTTCTTCTCACAAAGAGCGTTCATACTTAATTAGTGCATCTACAACGTTGCCTAAACGAAATATGACCTGAATGGCAACTTAATTCGAACACGGTTCTAAAATCCTCAAAGGAGTACAAAGATGTTACACGTAAGACCACAATCTTTGTGCGCTAAAAATGTCTTCAACTTCAACTAAAATAATATTTATACCAGTTAGTATTATACATTTTAGAAAATAATGATATGTTGATAGACATAGCAAGGATCAATATTATTGGGAAAAACTTTGAAAAATCTTCTAATCCAGTGATTTACATGAGCAAAGTTTTATGCCAAAATGTATTGTTTGCTATTATAACTGCATGATTTTTATTCTTAAGTGTAATAGAGTGAACAACTAATTACCTAAGATTAATGCACTACATTTTGTTGCTACCATTTCAAATATGAGTAAGCACAATGGAAAAAGTGACATGTTTAAACCATAGAAGGAGTCAGTTGGCTATTTCTTTCTCAAAACTTCAGTCTAAATGTCAAACTCGTACAATTCGTATTCTTAAAATAAACAATAGCAACCACTTGGACAAAAACTACTCCATCCCTTATGTTAGATTCGACTGAGAAATCTATTCATCGTCATAAAATTCTTATTTCAGCAAATTAGAGGAAAGCAAAAAAGACAGAAACAGCAGCAGCAAGAAAACCAGCAGGTTTTGCCGTGGGCGAGTTAACATAGTCTATATTGGTAATGTTGTAAAGAAAGTTTTACATGTGATGACACACAGATTTCAACATTTGCCAAACATTTTCTATCAGCTAGCTTAATGTCATATGGTAAATAAGTATACCCAAGTTAAGTCGCATGTATATGAAAGTAAGGGGCTGTTTACATGATCCCGGCTAACCGGGACTCAGTGATGCGTAAAATAATTTCGACGCATTAAAAAGAGGCAAATCTTCAAGCGAAAAAATTAAAACTGTTTGTTAATCGCCACAAGTAATTTCTGTGGTAATTCTCAAAGTAGGCCAAATTTGTTGTTTAATTTTGAATGTTATTCGTATAGTTACTAAATCAGAATATTGTGAAATTGCCGAGGAAAATTTATCGGATGATAAGTATTAAATCTTTTCCATTTGCCAAAATCATTTAACGCTTGGCTGAATCCCGGCTACCCCGGCTCATGTAACCAGCCCCATAATGTACTGAGTTTGTAACCGTTTCAAATATATAAGCAAATCAAAAGAGCAAGAGATTAAAATAAATAGTATATTGTGTAAAATAATACCATTCTTTTTGTGAATAGTATGGACAAAATAAAGAGTTGTGCTTTTCAGAAAATAAATACACTTTGTTCTTTCTTCCTGTGTTGCTGGTTGAATCAACGCCCATCTTAAATAACCAAATTTGTCGGACCTTCAAAAGATCTTTGTGATAAACTAATCAGTCATAACACTCTCGAAAAAGTACAAACTGCTGCTGGCTTGCAGATTTTAGAGGAAGCCTTTAAGTAAGACTTACGAAAATGGTCAAAAGTGCTTGCCATATTTTTTTAAGAGCTCTTGAAAAAGCCTTATAATCTAAAGTACTTTTGTAAAACTTCAAGCACTTAGACAAACCACTTAACTATTCTCCATTTTTTTTGTTGTTTGAAGACATGCAGTCGTGCCTTCTATTGTTCATCAAAGCCAAAACCAATATTGAAAGCGTATCTGGCATTAGTTATAACGTTAATTTTTATAATTTTAAAAATAATATACCAGCATTAAAACACAAAACATACTGTCGGGACTGACGACATACCGTAGTAAATATAATTGACATTTATTGGGAGGGACTTAGAAGTGTTTTGTTTTTTATGATAGTGAAATAGTGATGTACGATTACGATTATTCATAAGTATCTGTACTGTGATTAGAATAAGAGCAAGCGTTCGTGCACGGTGACTGTATTCAAAACGGCAACTTGGGGTTGCATGAGTACAATATATTTAGTTGAATAAACGCATGTCTGTGAATTGTCGAGGACTACGATCTAAAAGCGGAGGTAAATTCTCGACAATACAATAACGAAATAAAGCAGAATCCAAAAAAGGACATCTTATTAACTTAAATTCAAGTTATCAAAAGAAGACAAATGGAATTGTAATATTTCGGTTTTATTTTAAAACCATCAATAAACAAATGATGAAATTGTCGTCTGGTCAAGCAATGTATACAATAACAAAGTTTAGTTGAAATCTGGACTACACGATTCTTAGGAAAGGGTAAATAAGGATTCAACATTCATCAAGAGATCAGACGTGGTATGCATATTAAGTCTCAATACCACATTTTCGGAAAGCAAAAATAGACTTGACAAAAATAAGGACTTCATGTTTGACATTGGACTACTTCCGTTTAAAGTCGGAGGCATTCACATTTTAAAAGAGGATCACACTTTACAAATACACTAGCTGTATTCACGCAATTGTATTTATTTTATTTAAAACAGTGTATTTGCGTATAACAACTAAAGAGTTAAGTACATAAGTCGAGAAGGTTAATTGAATTCACTGTCACCAATACTTTAATATTCACAAGGAAATTATCAGAGAACTTTTTTGAAAGAAATATTTCGCCGTGTATACGTGAAATATATTTTACGCATGAAGTCTGACAAGCAAAAACGTCTTTGAGTCCTTACCGAGTACATATTGTTCTCTTAAATTGAATATGCAATAAGTTGATAATGAAACAAATCACTTGGCTAAACATTTCAGCAACGGAGTAAATTCTGAAAATACAGAAGAATATATTTCGTGGACAGAAAAAATAGTAATGATGTTACTGTTATGACCAAAAAAGACATTTTTGCTGCTTGCACGAATAAATAAGTTACGTATACAACATAGCATGGGCAAAATTTTAAATATGTAGGTAAATTCTAGAACATAATTAAAACAGGTAGAAGCTGTGATAACAAAGCATACTAGCAGCAACAACTTCCTCAATAAAAAACAAACTTTGTTACGTGTACACAAAAATTGGTTATGTTTGAACTTCAAGAATTAAAGCTTTTTGAAATTTTTATGACTAATAGTGTAACATACTTTTCACATTTGCTTATGAAGAAGAGTAAAATCTCTTTGTTGATGGGGATACATTTTGAGGAACACAAAAGTTATGCCATATTGCTATGGATGCAATCATGAAGTAGAAGATGTCTTTGCTACCAGGATTGAAAAATTATTATGGCAAAACAAGACACAATGCAACATCACCAAAACATTCTTAACCCCTCATGGAAACTAAAAAGAATACGCGGATCTAGTGGTAGACAGAAAATATTTAATTTAATAAGTAATCACTGTTGATGAATATAAAAATTCAAATGCGTATTCACTTTATACTAAAATTCTGATGGTACCACTGGTAAATTTGTAGAGTTGTCTTCAAAACGTTTTAATATATCGAATGGGTGTAAAAAAATAATATTAAAACGACTGATAAAGGGCAATGTACTTTAGCCTAGCTATTCCACGGGTTTGCAGAGAAATAATTTCTCATGCAATATCCTGCGAGGTACTACTGGTCACGCGAGAGTATGAAGTTCAAATAATGGGTTGGGGACGAAGCACATGACGCATACTTATTTGAAACAGCTTCAACTATCTTCGCTAGGTGAAATTCAAGATCCAACGGAGATCTAACTGATTGAGAAAATTTTAACAAGAATTAACACTACCTTTATAATTCCAAGATAAAAATATTTAGGGGAATATACTTGTGCAAAAACATCATCTCTCAAAACCATAACCCTGCACTATTGAGTTAAAAATATTTTAGATATGGTTAGAATTTTGTAAAAGATACGTGAACAGATAAAAAGGTTTCCCATTTATAGCACAAACTTAAGTTGGAGTAAATAGTTAGATTAGCTTTACAGTCACAAGCAATGGGTATAATTGACATAACAAGACTTAAAAGAACAAGCGAACGAGAAACACAGCAATACCTCTTTAGCACAATGTCTGACAATCACATTTCTTTTCTTACCAACTCAACATTGAGATTTGCATGTTGGACATTTCGTTGGTGACAACCTCACTATTCTTGATATGTATTACCAAGGAAAGATGTCTCCTCTGAAAGAGCACCCAATGAATGAAATGAACTGCCACTTTCGTGCAAGAAGAGAAAAGCAACAACAGCAACGACACACAAACAGGAAAACATGGCTTGGGTGAGTGAAGCTAAAAATTCATGGCTGCATAAACGGTATTAAAGATATACAATCCAAGAATTCTATATAGAATGATTACTTTCTAAGAATTAAAAATGTAACCAGAACAGTTTACTTAGAATCCAACTCTCCAAGTTCAATGCATTTAAATTTTATAATAATACAAATACACCTTAGCTACGCACAAAATCTTCTAAGACACCAAATTACATTTGGCTCATGTCAGATCTGCATGACTTAGCAATTTATTTATGATCATATAATCGTTTTTATAGCAAACGAGACAACAACAAAGAAGACAGCAGCAGCGGCAACATGTAAATCAGAATGTTTTGAGTGGGGTGAGACAAATACACATTACATGATTGCATGAATGGTAGCAATATTTTCTTATCCCTTTTTAAGTGATTTCGAAGTTTCGTACGTTTACATAATGGGAAAGTGATTAAATATATACAATTAGAAAAAGAAACTACTGATGGCTCATGTCAGGATTTGACCAACCAATTTATTTTCAATCATAAAATTCTTTTTTCAGAATATTCGAGAACAGGAAAGACTTCAGGAGAACCAACAGGCAAACCAGAGAAATTTAGAAATATTATATGGCTGTTGATTAGATAAAGCATTATCAAGATTTTGAGCCCGTTGGATTATCGTATTTTCATCATACTTTTCATACAGAATTACAGAAAAAAGACTAATTTTTAAAAAAGTTTATTGGGTACTGTGTTTCAATTCAGAAGGATTTTACACATCTTAAAGTAAAAAGTTTAAGAAAGTTAATTGTTGTCTACTGAAAAACGTTGAACAAATACATACAGATATTATCACTATTAACTGCCAGACTTTTCAAGAGCATTAAGTATTTACTTGAAGTCATCTGAGATTATCAAGACTAATCAAGAGCATTTGAAAAAGCATTATAAATTCAAGAGCTTCACAAGGAGTTCAGGTAGATTAACAAACCCATTTAATTATTTCTCTTGGCTTTGAAGTTAGCATAAATGTACAGACAAGCAATAATCTATCAAAATATCTGTACAAATATCTGTACAAATATCGTAAAAATATAAAACAATGCAAATGTGCAGGGAATGCTCTACAGTCTTCCCAATAATATATGTGGAGTTATTACTTCATCATAAGAAATATCCACCATGTTATCGACACCAAAACCAATATTGGAATTGTATAAATATAACACACTATAGCGTTGTTGATAACGTATAAAATGTGCGACGAATATAATGCATACAATGAAAAGATTGCACAAAATAATTAAAAATAAGAATTTTCTTGACCTATTAAATCATTATTCCGAGGAAAACACTAAACTATAAGAAGAGGTTAAACTATCATCATGAGATTAGGCAAAAGCTCTAAACTGCAGTATATACAGAATTGTTACCACATCATTTCGTTAACTGAAACTCTTTACATCAGTATACACAAATAACACATATCTTAAGTTTCAACAGAATATCACTCTTTTAGCAGATTAAGAAGTGACATCAGAACAGAGCTCAAACATCAAATCACGCTTAACGAAGACAACAAATTGCAACATTTATAACATTTAGGGAGTTAAAGAAGCGAAAGATTTCACACACACGTTTATTTCCACAGGAGGGAAAAACCCACAGAGACGTTCTTTGAAACACATATTTTACGTACGCCACGTACAATGTATTTTATGCATGAGGTGTGATGAGCAAAAGCTCTTTGAAGTCTCTACCAAGTTGTTATTGTTATTATAAACTAAACATGCAAACATTACTTTATAATGCAATAAACTATTCGGTTGAACATTTACAACATTGCCGCTAAAAATGTTAGCACATAGATATAGCTACATAGCTTTATATATATACAAACATATAAGTAACAGACTTTATCAACATAACATTTGTTACCAACAGAAAAAACGAGATGACTATGTGTGATGTATGACTATATGTATACAATGGTCACGGAATTTAAACACCCAAATGAATTCCTAAATTTAATTAAAACAATTAAAGGCCGAGTCTGAGACTACAAAGCTTTATCATGGTAAGAACGTCTTTTATAAAGAATGCACCTCGCTGCCTGTATATACAAAAATGCTATAAAAGTCGTGGTTTAAAGTGATAAAAATCGTTTTGACATCATCAAATTCACTTCGTTGTAGCTGTATGCAAGAACAAGTTCGAATTGCTTATTGGCACATTTCAGGGAACACGAATAGACGCAATAAACAAGGAAAATAAATAATGGACGTTATAACATAGAAGATATGGAAATCGAATGAACTGCCATCTGTAAAGTAGCTTATTCAAGAAAACTCAGCTACTTGTATACAAAAATGTTCACGATAAACTAAAATACGAAGTCAATTTATAAGAAACATGCATGTCGCACAAGAAATAGGAATCTTAGGAAGAATACATGGCTAAACCGTCACGAAAAAACTAGACAAATGTCATTACTTACGAAGAAAAATGGAAATCTTATTATCCACTTTTAAATTTCTGAAGATGCTTTAGATTATTTCAATACAGCAAATAAATGTAGGAAGTGTAAGGATGCAACGAATTTCTGATCTCACAAAGCAGGTTGAAACAAAATTTGTCGTGGAACATCCCGCGAGACTTTTCTCGTTTAATATTTACGCGAAGGTTCATACTTTCATGTCGTCCAAATAGAATGAGGAATCTTCTGATAGTACCTTGGAGTATAAATTTTAAACATCAAACGCAATTGAAATACAAAGAAGTAACTTACGATCAGTTAATAGGCAAGTACAAACATCTATTACTTTTTACATTCTATACTTTCTAACTGCAATGTGTTTGATTGAATACTGATAATATAATATATAATGCGCGAGTGTGAATGGCCAGACATTTTAATCAAAATTTAACATAGAAATGAGCATGTCGTGTTGATAAGAAACAACTGTGTATTCAGGAAAATTTCTTTCTTCGTTTGATGCATGAACCTTTATTTTTCATTATTTTAAAACATCATTAAATTTTTAAAAAGGTTTCATGCATTAGTTTCAGTAACTAACTATTACAACAAAAAATTGAGCTTTCTACAACAAACATTGAAAAAGTAATCGTGCCACAAGATTTCCTTCTAAAAGGAAATAAGGAAAAGAAATTCGCATTTAAAGATCTTACTGAGAGTAGAAGGCACCAGATTCATAAGTTTTTCCTTCCTTCTGTTCACAACTATCCACATAGTTTTTTATCATATGCCTGTGTGTTTTCTTCTTTTCATTACCTTCTCTGTGCTCTTCTTTGAGGATGATTTGATACGATTGGTATCACAATGCAGTGCACCATTTATAGTAAGCACTCCAGGTAGTATGTCCAAGTTAAAAAATAATTTGAGAAATGATATATCTCCTTCATTAAATTCAAGACAGCTAAGTAACTTGAAAGTGCTACAGTTTCCTGTTCCACATATGTGGACTTTGGACATCTTTCCCATATTAACCCGTTCAGACACTCATTCACATTTTGCGTCAAATCATGAGTACACTTTAGCAACAAGCTTTCCTCCCAAAGACTTTCATAAATGGATTCATTTAGCCCCTCAATGCTTTTGGTATACCATTTTTATGATGGTCTGTAGTAGGGTCTTTCTTGTATCCACACCAACTGTCTTCAGTATCAGGGCAAAGTTCATGTTGAGGGTTATCATCACTTGATGCCACATAATAAAGAGATGCCTTGATTGCTTTCGCCATTTTATCTATGTCATGCGGGTTCTCTCTCACTGCCAATCCATAGTAATTTTGCAAAAGATCAATTTTAGCATCAGTCAATCTATTCTTTCCACTCACACCTTTACCATCACCCAGTTTTACTCCTTTATGCGAACTCTTCAACTTCCGAAGGCAACTCCCTACTCTCTTTTGCACATGTGCATGCATTCTAGTTTTTTTGGAATGCAATCTTTTCCAAATGGCTTTCTTTCAACAATTGCACTATATGTTGGTGAGTCACCGTCTCCCAACATATTCTTGTATCTCAAACCTCCGGTCACAATGGACCTCTCAAAATTTCTGATTGCTCCACAAGTCTCCATGCTATTAGATCTTCCTTTATGGTTTATTTTGCAGATGTGGGAAGCCTTCCATTCATAATATCTCACATCATGCACTTTCATTTGCCTTTTCAAGCCCTGCTGGCACTTGTCTGAACGCATTTCTATATCTAGACATTTCGTGATGTCCAGCGATATAGCGGTGACAGCACCATTATGGGAGGTTGCCCTTTCTTATGCAATGTCCCATCTAGTGAGATGCCACATCCTCCATTCTCATTGTCAAGTGCTTCTTTCATTTTTATTGCACAAGACAACATACTATCATTGGCCAACTGTTTCATAACAGGCAATAGAAAATTGTACCTTCATTGACGTTTTTCATTGGAGGTGGACATTTGCGAATCTTCTCTGTATTGCTGCCAATATTCATTCCGGAAGGGCCAGGATTTTCATAGCAGTATCGGCCATAATTGGCCATCTTCTTAATTTTTCATGGCAAAGTTCTACAGCTTTTCTTTTTTTATTCCGTTTGTTTCCCATGATATTTTAAAGTAAAAATTACGAGAATATACAATAAATCAAACAAAACAAATATTTAACGGGCAACTTAGAAGTACAAAGACTATTCTGACGTTTTTGAGAGAGCATTTTTGAACTACGCAAGGCGAGTAAATCGGTGAGATGAGACATCTTCAAGTCGTTGCTATGCCGACTAAATCCTACAATTAGAATGAATCTTTCCATAATAGCTTAGAATAAGATACACCAAAAGTACAGTTCAAAAACAGCTATTTATTTGCTTTTTGTGGGGTAAAATATGGTTTAAAACATGTTACTATGGCGTTGCTAAAGTTAAAAACTTACGACATGGTCTCTTTGGTGGCATTTTTTTTATATTTAGCATTATTGTACCGAAAAATAGATCCTATGTTCATCAAGTACAACAATCAGAGTAATATAAACTGCAAAAAAATTTTCCAAAAAATTTGAAAAAAAACGCTTCTGCAATTTAATGTAGTTCTAAAAAATGTACAAAGCTACTGATGCAACATATAAAAAATTTTCATACTGGTACATAGCGTTATGCAGGGGTTTGAATGTCAAGTGAGTTGAGGCAAAGTGGAAAACAACAATGCCATAACATTCGGAACCTAAATAACATAACTTTTACCTTTTTTATTTTGTTCTTATCTATCTCTCACACTGTAGCAATTCTAAATTAGAATGCATTGAAGCTTCCTCTAATCATAAATGAACAGAAGAACCGTTTCTATTTTTCAGGTTGCGCATGAGATATTTTATATAACAGCTTGCAGTAAAAAAGGATTGGTTTTGATGGCTAGAGCTACGTCAGTTGTGCATGGAACAAAGCATGGTGTTACACTACAAGTACAGGAAAAAAAACATGAAGTCTCATCACCAGTACAGGAAACAGGATATGGTGTCCGACCACCAGTGCAGGAAACAGAATATTGTGTCACATCACCAGTAGAGGAAACGAGATATGGTGTCAGACATCCAGTACAGGAAACAGAATATTGTGTCACATCACCAGTACAAGAAACGAGATATGGTGTCAGACATCCAGTACAGGAAACAGAATATTGTGTCACATCACCAGTACAGGAAACAGGATATGGTGTCCGACCACCAGTACAGGAAAGAGAATATTGCGTCACATCACCTGTACAGGAAACGAGATATGGTGTCAGACATCCAGTACAGGAAAGAGACTACTGTATTACATCACCAGTACAGGAAACAGAACATCATGTCACATTACTGATGCCCAGCACAGAACAGGAAACAACATCAAAGTAGTAAACTAATATATGTGTGTATATATATGTATATATATATATACAAAGTGTATATACAATGTGCCCTCCCGGCTATCACCATATTAAAATGCTGACTCCTGCAGTTGGGACACAAGACGTAAGGTTACACATTGTATGGATTGTATTGTAGAGTCACCAGAGCGCTCAAACCTATAAAGGTGAGCTTTGCGCAAAGCGAAAGCGGTGAACGTCTCTTTATGAGACTCTCTTATTTTTTATTGTAGATTGTGTTATGACTAAAAATAGTCATAAGACAATCTATAATAAAAAACCACGGGGATCGTTTTGGAAGTGGTCAGCGGTTACAAAAATAAGAAAAAGGGATGAGCCAGCAATGATACAGATATATATTAAATTACATTAAAATATTCAACAAAAAAAACAGTAATCACACATGTATAAAACAAATTTATTATAAAGAAACATATAAATCATTATTTTCAAACAATAAGTAAACATTAAGAGGTAATTATTGATAACAACGAGGAATCCATTCAAGTATTAGGAAATTTTATAGTGTAAACTTTGAAATAGTTCACCATGTACAGTATTTCACTATTGTTTTTTAAATATAAATTGCATCTTGATGTATTTAACAGTCTTTTGGACATCATTTATTTTATATTCTTCTAAATTATAACTGTAATTCCCATCAAAGTTTTCTTTACAAATGTAATTTTTTGACAATAAGGAGGAATCCATTGAACTTTATAATTTTTATCAGCATTGCGAATAAATGCAAATGGCATATAATCACGTTTGCGCATTTAAGTTGATTGCATTGAATTATTTGTTTTCGATTTTGCATCCATCGAACAATATTTTGCCTCCAGCCCAATTCATCATATAACCAATGTTCTTTGCAATAGCATTCTCCATTAAGAAATTACATCATATACAATATTTCACTATTTTTTCTTGAATATAAATTGTATCTTGATGCATTTAAAAGTTTTTTTTGACGTCATTTATTTTATATTCTTCTAGATTACTTTTTGGAATATCCATCAAAAGTTTCTTTATTCATTACCATCACAAATTTTCCTTTCTAGAATGTATGAAGCATTTATATATTGCATTTTTTGATAAGTAAATGGGAAGAAAAATCGCATTTCTTACCTTTTTTTATTTTTTTTGTACATTTCTTCTATTTTTTCTTCAAATCCCATTTTTAGTAAGTTTATATATTCTTCTATTTGTTGCACATTTTCCTTTTCAAATTTATTCATTTTTTCTTCAGTTTTTTTATTCATTATCGTTTCAATCTTTTTTTCTAACTTATTTAGCTCTATCTTTATATTATTAAAAACATTATTTGTAAGTTTTGCAATCAAAATATGAATCTTGTGAGTGATAACATGGAAAATTGCATGGCAGAAATAGATTTCAAAATCTTTTCGGAATTTATTCTCATTAAAATATTTTTCATCCTTTTCTTTTTTTGCATTTCCAATTTCTTAGTCCATTGATCAATTATTTCAGAAAGTGGTTTTGGTCCAATGAATCCTGCAATATATATATATATATATATTGTGTGGACCATCTTTTTCTTCGTTTTCTAGTTTTCTTTTCCATGCATTATTATTACTCAAAGAAGAAGACTTTTTTAAACTCTGTAAATTTTGCAAATATATTTTTGGGTAATTGTTTTCTTGATTTGCCATTATTTCGTTAGTAAAAAGTATATATAAAAAATTTTTTATTGTGCATTGTCTGATAGTAATGGTAATATCAAAATCAATGTATCTTATTTATACTTAAGTGTTATTAATACTTTTTATGAAAAAAAATTAAGTGTGATTATTCACTGTATTTTTTTCATTTTTCAGCTTTATTTCAATTGTTCAACAAATGTTTGATCATTATTCAGCCTTATTTCAATTATTCAGCACATTACTTATCATTGTTCAGCCTTGTTTCAATAATTCAGCATATTAGTTACCATTATTCAGCCTTATTTCAATTATTCAGCACATTACTTATCATTTTTCAGCCTTATTTCAATTATTCAGCATATATTTTTTATTATCCAGCAGTCTGGCACTAGCGCTTCACTTATATTGTTTTGTTTTGGCTACACGTGCTTTGAAACAATTAGTGACAAACAATTGTTATTTCGGTGAAAGTATTTCAGTGGTTTCAACTGTTCTTTGTTTTAATGGATAAACCTATAGAGGCTTAGTTTAAATCTTGTTCTGTCATCAAAATGTAAAACACAAGTAAAAAAGTAAAAAAAATTCTACCTCATATATAAAAGCCCTATATTTTATGCTCAACGTTTGGCTCGGAAATTTTACCGATTGAAGGTCTCCACCAGCAAAAATCACACTATCCCACTGCATGATATATTTTTCTTTATCAATAATGTACTTTTTGACTTTCTGTATTTATTCAACAATAAATTAGTCCATCAAAGTTCATCCTTTGACGAAACTTTTCCAAAGACATACACTTCATTTCCTCAGCCATAAAGATTTTTTTAACTTAAATAAAACGTCTGCAAATTTCTTGAAATGTTGCCATCATGTTGTTCCATGAATCACACAGCATTTTGAACAAAATAATTGCGATCATAAACCAACAAACCAATAAACTTTGTTCTCAAATTGTTCTTTTTTAAATTTACTAACCTTTAATAGAATTTATGTATTTATACTCTAAACTCAGCAACTTCTTCTCGACTGCTAAGAAGAGGATTTTAAAACGATTGAATATCAAAAGTTTTAAAAAAATGTTGTATTTTTTACACACCATCCTGAAAATAAGTTTTATGTGGTTTATGTGTGTGCATATATTGGTAAATGTTCTGAAAATAAGCCATTTGTTTGCAGAATGAATGAATAACGCACTACACTTCCATTAAGATTTTATTTCTATATTGTTTTCAAGAACATTTCTTGCTACGTTGCTGCTAGACTCAGCCCTTAATCGACAAGGTTTTAGTTCAAATGACGTAACTAGTTGGCAAACTTTGCCCTACTATGCAAATTGTTTTGTGCTCTCTCGCTGCAAAAACAAAAGATTGTAAAGGAATGAATGATGATAATGCTCTAAAATTTTCATAGCAGGACAAAACTTGCTGCTTTGATACGCCTCAAAGAATGGCCACACTTTCTTTATTCTCATGTCAGAACCAAGAGTTATTTTGCCTTGCCAACAGATTTATAGTTCCTAATAGCTTTCCGTTAATTGTAAATTAAACATATTTAGTAAAGAAACAAATATATCCATACGTAATATCTTGTATAAATAGAAGTAGTTTAACAATTGTAAGATAGATCGTAGGCCATAGACATTGACGTTGAACATTAAATGTGATCGTAATAGCTATCTGTGATATCTCTATTTGTTGGTGTAAGTCAATATATACTAAAGAAGGTAGATGGCTACATCACAAAACCTAACAATATTGACAAATTAGAACCAAGTTAGCGGATACATCACTTGATACATGTATCGTAAACAAAGTCTAACAAAGAGCTTCTTGTTTAATTCGAGTGAATGTGTATTAATTTTTTACAAATATTATTTACCTCAGACATACATATGTAGCTCATTGCCAACATACATATCACCTCGATCGTCCTTCATTACTTGTTATTTGAGACCAATCGATCATGTACAGTCAAGCTTGTATGTTGATTATCTTTGTAGTCATATCTCTACGGCTACGCAGTTGTTGAAATACCTGTCGTGTGTTGGAGTGTGGAGAGTTCCAGGAACTGCAGCGGAAATAACTCCCATTACAATGGTTTATCGTAAAGAACTTAATTAAGACTTAGGAAATAGAGGACGTTAATAAAGAAAATTAAACTTTTTTATTAGTAGAGAGAACATGAACACTTTAGGAAACAGAGAACACAAGTACTCTAGGAAACAGATAACATCAATACTTTACCAAAAAGAGAAGAAAAATATCTTAGAAAACAGACAATACTTCTGAAACAGCATTTCTTGCAGTTTGGATGGCATAACATTGTTATTCCTCAATTTAAAATTACGTTTTTTCTAAAGGAATTTTACCCATATTCAAAAAACTAATCCTTTAATATAAGAATGGAACATGCTTCCCACAATGGCTCAGACAAACAGAAAATAGATGTAATGCAGCTGTATTCGTTGGCCTGTTAGAAATGTACCATGAAAAGGCCGATGACAAGTTCCCAATAGCCACACACACAAGGCAGGAGATTTTATGAGTAGTTTTGCGAGTTGTTTTTGCATTAGGGTCGAAAAGTGGACGCTTATGTCAAGTGACACTAACAAGATGGAAGACCAAGTATTTTTGGTGGTAATATTAAGTTGACTAAATCTAAAATTTCAAAGGCTTCTCTTATTTAGCAATCACAGAGTATTAGAATGAGTTTTTGGTGTGTACTTTCAGCTCTCTGTGTAGTACACAACGCAATTGAGACTCCGTATAAGTAAACATTGTTTTCTCTAAACGTTCCGATAAGTATTACATGTCATCATCATTCATCAATGGAATATTTGAGCTTATAAAAAATTCCGAATTATGAATGAGATCGTGATTAACTGTTCATTGACTTCATTTAAATTAAATAAATAAACAATCAACAGATACCGTCTAATCACTCTACGCGTGTACACCATGGTTCAGTGAAGGATTGATACGATGAATGTGATAGGCCTGTTCGAATAATAATAAGGACCAATTGCTTTGTCTTTTACTAAAATACTTTTTTCAGTCGTAATTTCTTTGGCAGTTGTAATGGTGATCTTAAGGCTACTTTTCCATATGCATTACAACCCCTGGCGAATCATGCAAATGACTATTCTTCCATCTCCTTTATTCGGTTTTCAGGAGTGAAATAAACGCAGGCTGGAGGCCATTAGAGTCCAAAGGAATCTCCAGAATGAGAGCAATAACTCACAAATGCTCCTTATAAAAACAAAAGCCGTGAGTGAGAGGGATCAGAGTATAGAACGAAAAAGTACAAATCTTGAGGAAGTGTGCATTGTCTAAAGTGAGTCAAATGCCAACTTCTCTTTAAGCTTTTTATTACGATTATTATTATTAGCATGGCCTTCTTCACCTTCCTTTTTACAAATGTCCAAAATGCAGTCTGACCATTTATCAGCAATGACAGCCTTTCCATTTCTTTTAACCAGCACAACAACCTGTATGTGGTGAATCTTCTCATAATCTTTGATTTTGCCATCAGTTCCGTCAAAAATCATCACGTCTTCGCCTTTTTCATCCATCAACTGATTAAAACAATGACTTCTGTAGTCGGTGTAAAAAAGCAAAACAACTGCTTTGCACTGTAAATTTTTGAACGTTATTTTCAAGCCTCTTCAAGCGATTGTTTTTTTTCCTCATCCGTGAATTTTGTGGGGAATATCATCTTTATCGAGCTTTCTTCTTTTAGAAAACTAAAAAATGTTGTTACATGTTTGTAGATGTTGATCGTCCAGGTTAGTATAGTCCTGAGAAGGACTGTTTTTGTTGTTGTTGACTGACGTTTCGACAACCTAAGCGGTAGTCATATTCAGAGTCAATAAATCAATGGCATCTTCACTGTGACAATATATCTTATGGGATTTATAGGACATGATCGTGACTTGCAAATGGTATACTTGGAAATAATAAAAATGTTGAAATACCCATTCTAATAATATAGAAACTTACTTCATTGACCTTGATAAGAACAATGTCAGCGGCTTAGTCTTTATGGACTATAGCAAGGCATTCGACTTGATCAATCATGACATTCTCCTAGTAAAGTTAAGATCATATGGATTTCCAAATAATGTTGTAAAGCTATTGCAGAGCTATCTACTCAATCGCAAACAGTGTGTTACTGTAAATAATTCGACTTCGTCACAACTTATGCCAACCAATGGAGTTCCTCAAGGTAGCATATTAGGACCTCTACTGTTTTTAATTTTCGTCAATGATCTTCCCGAAGCTGTTGGATCGGACTCAACTATTCATGCTTACGCGGATGACACCACATTTAAAGCCAGCGCTAATATCGACAATGCACCTATGTAATTGGAACGACATCTTCAAGAATACACGGATAAATTAAGTAAATGGTCTAGCGAAAATGGGATGGTCCTAAACGCCGTTAAAACCAAAGCATTACTTATCACCGGAAAGAGGCTACATTCATCATTAGTTGATGGCAATCACCTGTCAGAGACCCTTGATGGGGCCGAAATAGAACAAGTAACCTCTTATAAATTGCTTGGTGTAACACTCGATCAAGATCTTACATTTAGTGACCACATTTCTAACCTAAAGGCCAAGCTTTCTCAGTGTATTGGTTTATTGAAAAAGATAAAGAGATACCTTCCAATAAAAGAAAGACTCTTATACTATAACGCCTTGATTAAACCCGTCCTTAAGTACGGGAGCATGGTTTGGAATACCTGCGACGTTAAAGAGCTTCACTGTCTCCTAAGGTTACAGAAAAGGGCTGCCCGAGTAATTCTTGGAGTGGACCCTTATTCTAGAAGTGTTGTAAACTTTAGTAAACTAGGCTGGTTGCCTTTTTTTGATGAAATCAAATTAAATAAGTGTACAAAGATTTTTAAGAGCCTTAAATGCGATGTTCCGATTTACATCTGAGACTTGCTCAAGACGAACAGTTCTATACACAAAGGTCTACCAGACATGGCAATTTAAATTTAGTGTGTCACAAATACCTAAGAAATAACGATGGTGGCAAGGCATTCAGTGTTGAAGCAGTTAAGTTATGGAACAGCGTTCCCCATGATATCAAAAAAAAGCCTAGTATAAAACTATTCAAAACAGCTATGAAAAAGCATTTTATAACCTCATATAAAAACCTGGACAACTTTGAAACAATATTAAGCAATAGTACGTTATCAATTTTAATTTTTTATCAATTAATTTTATCTTTTTGAAAATTTTTATATGTCCTGCTATTTCTATCATAGAATTTTGTAATTATTTATATATTTATTCATTTATCAGTTTTTTGTAATGCTGTATAATCTAGTTAGAGGGCCACAGGTTTGTCAGCTTTTCAGCTGTTACGTGTCCCCCTCTATAAATAAAGTCCTTACTTACTTACTTACTTCATTATGATATAGACTTGATCTGTCATGCTCTTGCGTGGGCACTTTGCTCTTTATCTCCTGGGCGTTTTGAAACTATAATAAAAAGTGAATAACAAAGCAAATATAAAAGGTGAAATAACACAGGAACAATATCCAGGTATATGACCATTAATTGCATGAACAAAGGCCATTAAACAAGGGCACTGGGCAAAAGAAACCTTTTAGTAAAATATAAACTGACAGATGTACAATTAGTAAATTATCATTTTTTGGCACAATACAGTCTACATTTCAAGGAGTATAGTCATTTGAAAGTATATACTCCTTGAAATGTAGACTGTATTGTGCCAAGTCGAAAGTATTATATACAGCTTTTTATTTCCCCTGTAATTAAAGAGAGCTTGTTTGCTTTGGAAATACTCACGGGATGATGTGCTGATGAACTTTGTTTGAGTTGTCGCTGGTGTCCGAGGGATCTTTTTATTGTGGTCCATCTGTCGTGGTCAATTTTACCATCTGAAAAGAATCAAGAAAAACACTCAAGAAATTAAGGTCTTCTTTTGATCTTCTTGCAAGGGAGCACTCTGAACGGTGTTGTTTATAAAAAGGAAGATAAAAAACTAGGGTTATATATGGGCAAGCTGAAGGACTGGAAAACTCCTATTTAAAGTCATTCGTGAATTCAAGTTCAAGGAAGTCAATTAAAAGCTCTATTTGGTATTTTTTGCATATAAATTAAAAACAGTTAATATTGTATCCTAATAACAATTATTACGAAAATGTTTATGTTGTGAGAGTTGAGGCAGGAGGCGCCCCATCTAGGAAGGGCCACAGGCGGCCTGGTTCAAACTTACGCCACTGCATATAATCTTGATTAATTAGAAAGCGTTAATGTTTATACTTCGCAATGGTGCGAAATATTTTATTTTTACCAATAGAAGTTAATCTTGTCGTATAAACAACATGCTGAGACATGGTAATCTTCAAGTTGAAAAAGCCAATTGAAATCGTCAAAAATACAAGAGGTTCAGGGAGACTTAAAAATTCGTACGTTAAAAATCGCGTCAGTCCCGTCGTTCTTTCTAATGTACACAAATTTCATATTCTCCGTCAATTGTGATGGAAATTTTGAGTACAAAGTGTATCGCTATAGATGGGAAAAAACGAGATCGACTGACGCAAAATGGTGATCAAAACAGACAAGCTATAAAAAGGCCTCAATCATTTACCTGTACTGTAACTTTTTCCAATGATTCATTTAACTTTTCGATGTCTTTTTGCGAACTGTTTTTTTTCCAGGATTTCCTTTTAAGCTCTTTGATCTCCAACAGTTCTTGCTTGCAAGCTACTTTCATCGAGTGAAGACCGTCATAGTATTGTTCTGGATTTTCTTGCATCTTTTTTGAATTCAATTGACTGATGTAATATCGTATGATTTCGTAAATTCCTAATAACATAAGAACTTCATGATTTTGGTCATCAGACTTCTTGCAACATATTTCATTGTATGTGTGTTCAAAAATTTTATTTGCTCTTAAACATCTAAGGACGTTTGACATCTGCATGATCAATAATTATGTGTACTTAGCTAGATAAGGAAAATTAGAATCGGAATTCTGTAAAACCAGAACACTAAAAATGGATTGCTGACTCATAGGGACATTCAAGCGAATATATTTAGTTTAGTATTTACTTGTATTATTCCAACATGATTGATGTTTACACTATTAATTTAATTTTACTAAAAGGAAATCATTCAATACAGCGATTGGAAGACTAAGGTATATGTCTGCTACGCTAACAAGAAACCGTTTGATAAAGTGTGGATAATTAAACAGGAAGTTATTGCAATTAGAAAAATAGGACGTAACACGTACATGTGGGTAGCTTGTCAAGTATATAGTTAGTGCATGAAGTAGATTTAATCAACATAGTTATATTAAAATTATATAAAAAAATTAGCTATTTAATATTATTTACGTCAAACTTGTGAAAGATTTGAAAATGCTCTTTAGTTATATGACCATTTAGTTGCCTAACCTTTCTGCATTTTTCGAACGCCCTAGGGTAGATTGAACGGCACGTGACTTTGCTCATAAGCCTTGCATCGTGCAAAGTGAAGTCATTCAAATTTCTCGCGACTTTTACATGTTTTTCCCACTGAAAACAATTGTTGCTTCCATATTGTTTCAAAAGGGTTTTCTGACGTGTCTGAGATGTCCTTGGTCCCACAACTGAAAAATCGTATGAGATGTATTAGACTATGTTTACACTTATTCGGATCGGCCTGAAAACGGCATAAAAAAGTAACAGAACCAAGTTGCGTTTATTCTGCACTTTTGCCAGAGCGATACGACCACTCTTTCTAAACGTCGTCAAAGAAAACGAAGCGCTACGCATTGTCGTGTAAATAGCTAACCATTAAAATTTCGCTACAATTTAGAAACCTTTTCCATTTAATTCGTCCCGTATTGTGACACATAGTTGAAAATGGTGATCATTTTACGTTCTGAAAAGCTTTTGATGACTATTTCCGTTGTAATTATTAAATATCATTGTTTTTCATAACCTATGGCTAGAGATAAAAACATCTAGTAATATGCAAATAAAAATGGCGACATCTTTCACAAACAAATAACGAATTTTAACAGCGAGGGACACCCGCAAAACTGCAGCGGAATTTACGCGGATATGGGCAAACCCAGTCCAATTATAAAGAAGCGTTTATCCGGCGTAGTGTAAAAGTAGTCTTAGATTAGAAGTAAAGACACTTGTATTATGGTAGTAAACATAACACAATTATATAGAAAGCGCTGTTTTTTGTTACTTTTTTCTAATCACATCCCGAAAAGTCATAAACAATATTTGATACGTGTAGACAGGGCCTAAGTCAATATTTATGCAACCTCCATGAAGAAGCAATATGCTTGCATTTTCGAAGTGATATTTCTAGCAAAGATAGCTCGAGTCGATTCATTGTATGATATTTTCGTCCTGCAAGAATTATTTTCGATTTTGTACAGATTACCGTGGCTAAAAAAAGCTATTTATATTTGCAGTGGAATTTGAAACAAAGATTGGACTATGCGAGAATATGATGGTTGATCTATTCGACAAATACAATTTTGGGTCAGGAACGAAAGTAAATTTGACGTAGGAAGGACAATGCACAAAAGATGCATAAACTTTGACGTAGTTGTACGTCGAGGGATGAAATTGAAATTACAAGAAAAAAAGATGTTGTGAACAAAGATATTTTTATCCAAGATTTCTCTGGTGTTTCTTCATCAAGAGAGCTTTTTTATCGGTTGATGTTAGAGCAAGTGTTGTCAATTTTGAATGTTCAAATATATTCGTTGTTTTGTTGTAAATTATTTGTTATCGAATCAATGATTGCTCGAAAGATTGTGAATACATTTGATTTACCGAAGGTAAATTTTACCCTCAAAAAGTATAAGGTGAAGTACCAGGCAAACAAACTTGCAAGAAAGCAAAACTTACGAGATTGCTAGTTGCTAAAGTGATATTCGATCCTTATTGTGTGCTGAATTTGATCAAATGTGTGAATTAAAATGACATTATACAGCCTTGTTTTTAAAGTTTTCTGATAAAGGATAAAATGCTGCCGTCCGCCATCTCTTAAAATCTAAGTTGAAAATACCGGAATATGATTCCACTTTTCTAAGAGATAGCATACCATAATCCATAGTACTTCATTAGAAAAGTTGATTTAAAATTGTAAAGCTACTTGTAATTGATAGGCGATACTTCAAGTAATAAAGAAACTTAGATCCCAAAGAAAAAATTACATGATGTGTACACTCATTAATGCCAAATTTAATAATATTAAAAACTTTACGTACAACTCTTTTGAATCTAGTTTTGTGATTAAATATATTCTGTTACAATGGCGGATCCAGTGTTAGTCAAAATAAATTATTGGCTCGGTGCTCAATTTTTAATACGAAATAATTTCAGAAGAAAACTAATAATTGAATTTCTAAATGATAAAATTTTATCAAAAAAGTTTCCTCTAAGGTATTTTTTAAACCCCAAAAGAGCTACAATAATTTATTCTGATTGATGTGTCATAGATCCGTCACTCATATCAAAATATCAGACAAAATTTGAAAATGGTAGCGTTATTGTTATGTTATAAAGAACTAGCTATTATACATAAATTAATAATTTATCTTGCGATTGTTTTTTCAACTTTATCAGAAATTTTATAGCTATAGCTTTATCGATTTATCCAACACCTAGAGGCATAAATGGTCACGTGATGTGGCAACCAAATGATTCGATGAAACTGTTTTCTTCGCACTGTTAAATGTCGTAACGTTTACTCTGTTCTTAAAATAATTAAAAATTGTCTGGTTCAGTGCTCTGTTGATAAAGCATTTCCACGAATAAATATCTGTTTCGTTTGTTTGATAGCACGAGTAGAAAACATAAAGTAACTTAGCCATCAAAATCAACATATGAAGAATTTGGCTAAAAGTAAATAATTGATTGAAAAACTAAAGGCCTTGAAATGGTTTTTCTTTCTAAGTTTTAACCATTGATCAAAAGCAAAAACAGAAATTCATCTTTCTTCTTGTGTATCTTAGCTTAAATATAAAGTCCCATATAGACAAGTATCACGACAATAAATTTAAGACTTCAGACAACAGACTTGATCTTGATGAACTCCTTTGCACTAGTTCATATCTAACTGTTATAGGCGTTCAGTTTTAAGACGATTCTCTAGCATAGTCTTGAATGATTTAAATAGCTACTTCATGCATGTTTTTCAAAAAGTTTTCACTTTCAGGTATACAATTGACGTCACTCGATCTTTTCATTCGAATGTCTAATTTTCACTTTCTTACAGGGATAACAAAAGAGAGAATACTTACAGCACAGATCGTACAGCAATGCTCAGAAGGCCGGTTAGAAGACGACTGAATAGCCACTGGTTAATGCTATGCACTTGGTAAGTAGATAGGATTTTATTTTTTCTTTCAAAAACCTTTAAAGGAAAAATAGTCACGATGTGAATAAAACATTTTCAGATATATCTAAACTGCGAGTAGCAGATTGCAGTGCAGTTTATTTGTAATTGCAAAGCTAAGAAGTGTAATTGTTCAGTAGAAACTCTGTAATTGCACTGTGAAAATGTGTAAAATAAATACTGTAACCTGATTGGCAGAAAGGCATTGAAAGCCAAAGAAACTTTTTTTAATGCATAAAAAAACATGGAGGCAGTTGTAATTAAACAAAGATTTCCACAATCGCATCGTGTTATATTCAAGAATTACAAAAAATACAAAGATTAAAAACACGTCAGGAAGTAATGTTTTTGTGGTGAATGCTTATAAATGTTGGAAAATTTCCAAGACTGCTAATATCGCACGCCTTTTGGTAGTATTTCGTTGCAGTATTTCAAAAAACTCACTCGCACATGTTCGTCCATAAGCACTCGAAACATTTCTATTAAAAGTTTATTCAACTGTAAAAATGTTTCATTCTATCGAAGAAATATAACTGCTATTGTAGTAGGCTTGAAAAAAATCGCTATCCCATGTACTCACCTATTTCTATAGATTAAAATCGAACGGAAGAAAGTGAGATAATATTGGTCCATAATTTAAGACCCAAGAAGCTTTGCAACCTGTGTGTTATCTACGTTTTCTGGATTTTTTCTTTGTTGGGGTAACAACTTTTCAACTTGTCAGGTCGTTTGGTGGTTTATGCCTGTGAGGCTTTTATCTGTTTTTTTTTTGATTGGCATAATGAGCGCCTAATTGGCATTTTCCCATTCTTTTCTATTGGTTCTATTTGTATAATATCCTGATCTTTTTTTTTGGTTCTTTTGTTGCTTCAGAGAAGGTCGATAGGATTTTTTGGGATGCTCGGTATGTTGCTACGTAAGTTGTGGGATGAGGTGTCAATGTCTTCTTGTTTGGCGTAAAATCTATATTATTTAAGTTCACATGCTTCTTTTTGAGTTCTTTATAATTGACCGAGGGTGGGAAGTTTCGGAATTTGGCTAACACCTAAAACAAATTTTAAGTTTAAAGAACATCAGCTGCATCCATCCTACTTGAACAACTAAGATTTCTATTATTTGCGTGACTTTGGACATATTCCGTTTTGCAAATGTCCGAATAGCAATCAAACCATTTACTGGCAATGACAGAAATTCCATAGTTTTCATCATTTTCATCGTCTGTAAAAGACAAGACAACAACCTGAGCAGAAAGGGCTTTATCAAAGTCTATCGGATTGTCTCTACCATTGGTCCCATCGTAAATTTTAACTTCCTTCATGTGTTTCACCAGATTAACGCAATGGCTTATTTTATTCGTGTGATAAAGCAAAACACCTGCATTACGCTTTGAATTTTTAAAAGCGTTTTTCACATCTTCCAGTAGAAGCCCTCTGTTGTCATCCATGCACCGTTTGAGGAATATTTTTCTCAAGAAGCCCTTTTCATTTAGGACAGGAAGTACTTTTGTACATGGCAACAAACGATCCATTTCTCCAAGCTTCTCTTGCATTTTTGTCTCCTTGTTTTCGATTAAATCTTTCACCATAATTTGTTGTAATTTCTGACAAAACCTTGACATACAAAAACGTACTCCTTCTTCATAGAGCATCACCTGCAGGGCAACTAAACCACATGACCGTTTACAGAAAATCATTTTCTTTGGATCGAGGCAGAATAACTGTAAACATAATATAATATATTTTAGGTTGTGGCGTAACAAACTCGACAATTTGGAGGAAGAGGGTTGCGACGCATATTCATACATGCATGTTTTACCACATTCACTTCTTTTGAACTCTACTGTTTTCTTTGGACTAAAACATGCATATATTACTTGTTACGATTAAATGCATATATTCCCCACCAATTATAGCTATGATACCACGGACTTATAACTAGCCTACATTAAACTCAATTTATTCCGTTTGAGTTTCTGGGCACCTCGTTTCCAATGGATGAATTATCGAAATTTTCAGGTTTCAATGGCTAAACTAGAATCCACCGAACCAAACAGATAAGACATGTTTTAGAAATGGAATAGTTTACAAGTCATCTGTCTAAATGTGGTTTCTTTATTGGATTTGAATGTGTCTTTATGGGATATTGTAAAACATATTTGGGGAAATTGGATTGTCCATACTTAGCAATAATATATACACATACTTGATTGTCTGTGTTTGGCTCATCGGATTCTTGTGGAAGACTTTTCCCTTCGCTCTGCACCATATTTTGAGGCTAAAATAGACAAAAAACAACCCTATAAACAATGTACAATGCACACTTCGACTGTATGGGTTCTTTACTTTCCACACACTTATTTCGTAACTGTATAAAGAACTACGGAAGCAGTAAAATTGGAAGTATAACACTTTAAGAAAGCGCAGTGTGACTGATATTGAAAACGGCAATTATGATCATGTGAAAATATGATCAAATAGCATAAAATAGGATAGCATTGGTTGTCTATTTGTTTAATATGTGGCTTGTAACAAAGATTAGGATTTTAAATCATGCAATCTAGAATATGATTGGCTGAAATCTGAAGAGAATCATCAATTAGACAAAAAGTGTAAATTAGCTATCTATGAGCGAATATTTCCCAAAGACGAAGCCCAAGAACTATTGATTTCGAAAAAATTTTAACTTCCCTTTGTTAGCAATTAGTTTACGTACTTGATGCTCGGACCAAGGTTTACTGCGTTCTAGTGGAAGTCTTTCTCTTTCGGTCTCCAACATATTTTGAGACTAAAAATCGCCAAAAATAACGATAAAATATTATGGCAATGCTTAAACAAAACTTGAATTGTAATAACACCTATATACACAAACCAAAATTGAAAGAACAAAAACAAGAGCTTCAGTATGATGATAAAAGTACCATTTCAAAAGAACTTTGACACTGGATGTAAAGAGTTCGCTTCATCAATCACCTTACTAACCTCAACATCACTGTCGTACAAAGAACCATTCAACTCATCTTCATTTTCTTCTGGTTTCATTGCCTTGATTGCTTCTTGCTGAAAAGAGTTTGATGACAGTGACGTCGAAGAAGAAATTAAGAATCCCATCTATAAAGTCTGAAAACATGCCTAAAAATTAAAACCTACCGGGGGATCTTGGTATTCTTCGCCATGATCTGACACACAAGATTCCTGCATAATTTTCCTCCCCTGAAATCGACAAATATTTTTTTAAAAATATCGTTTTCCAAGAGAAAGATAATCAGTTTTTTTCACACATCCTGTATAAACTGATTGGAATAATGCTTTTGCGCATGCTCAAATGTGTTGTTTTGAAAGATCTTGCACTACTGAAATAAGCGTGACAAACTTGAAAAATTGATTTCTTTCTCTCCGGTGACATGCTCAAGTGATTGTGTCTTGTGTTAGTGCAGACTTAGGTAAGTGGAAAATTTGGTTTTTCATTAAGCATGATAAATTGTGTTGTTCTGGAGGTGATAATATGAACAGTTTCTTAAAGAAATTCTTTGCTACTCAAATCTTTGCTTCAATGTGACTAGTTTTCCATTTTTTGTTCATCAAATATTATGAAAAATGCGCACAAACATGGTTGTCAACTTATTTTGATGATCACAAATGACAAGTTACAAAAATTACCTCAATTTTCATCTTGGAAAACTCATCGCACGTCTTTGAACTGAATTCATCGTAACGTTCTTTAAGCTCTCTGACTTTAACTTGACAAACTTCAGCAATAGATTCAATCAAACGACAATACTCATGAATTTTTTCATGTTCACCTTCCAAAGATATTAGAACACGGACGTTTGACACGTAGGAAAGTACTGACTGCAAATATTCCAAGTCAAATGCCATTTTGTCTTGGGATTCTTTTTGACAATCGACCTGTAAATGCAGGCAATGGTATTGGAAAAATGTTACCAACCATCTATAAAACCTCCAGATAAAAAATCAAGTGCATGATATCTCTCTATCAAAACATTGAGTAAATTCTCAAGTAACCACAAAACTAAGAAAATTTATTGTGCTAAGTTAAGGCCCGTTTCCACTTAAGAAATTTTCCACGGATAGTAAAATTTTCCAGATTGTGCATGTGTTAAGCAATGAAAGAGATGCGTTCAAATTTTCCAGTGGAAACAGTGTTTATTCCAGCAGAAATTTTGAAATCAAGTTACAGATGTTAGAAACATTTAGCATAAATTAATATAAAATTGTTTGAAAAGTATTTGTGGTCTACAAGTCTTATTTCCCGAATAAAAGTGGCAAATTTGCCGTTAGTCGTTGTTTCAGCAAATATTCGTCTTACAACATATTTTCTTGTATTTATTTTGTGTGCCCAACCTTGTGTACTAGCGGTTTCTTATCAGCAAAAGAAATAATATACGTCTATTTAAGGCCGCCATATTTATTCCCACCTTTGCATGAATGTAAAATGAAAATTGTTCCTGAAAAAACAGATATGCAACAAATTTTCCTTTCTAAGCAAAAATTTCTTAAGTGGAAACGGAACTTTACGCCTGAACACAATATGAGACAAATTATTACATAACTTACAAATTGCGGTTGCCTCACAATCGGCAAGACACAATTGTGGAACACCTTGCCACAAACGGACTGCCAACAACAATCAGGTTGGGTTAGGATGAGGATTAAGTTTAGGGCTATGATTAGGTTTAGGATCAGGCTTACAGGTAGAGTAAGTATGTGACAGAGTGTTCATCGATTTTAGCTTCCGTAACAAATTGCCGACTTCCTGGGGATGGGGGGGAGAAATTATTGCAACGTTTTAACGTCGGGTGATATGAAAAGGTTGCATTTTTTTTGAAGCATTTTTCCTTGAAACTTTACTCCTCTGTTGTTTGCAACAACAAACAACAATTTCTGAAAACTTTTCGGCATTTCATACGTAGTCGCAAAATGAAAGAATTTAAAGACTCTTTGTTTCTTTGTTTCATTGAACATTATTTAGCGTATGATGCATCACAGGGAAAAAACCTCTGTTTCATTTGCTTTTGTTTGAAATAGCAATGAAACCTCAGTTACTGCACTCAACTCCTAGCGGAGGGCAAATGCAATTTCGACGTGAAAACATGTAAAACATAGCTATCACTGGAAAAATATAAGCGTAAAACACAATATCAAATGCTCTTAAGCATAACAAGCTTCGACTCACTTTTTCTGGGTACTTGCAGACCGTATACCCGATTGCTATAGTATTTTAAATTTTCGGTGTATTATATGTCATTGGTAACGTTTAACGTCATAAAAAGAAGCAAAAAGCGCTAAATTTATCAAATTAATAAGCCTTTGCTTCAAATAATCGCCCCTAAATAAAGGTAAACATTGCCTAAGGGGTCAAATGGGAAATCACCCAGATTATAGAGAATGACTATATATGCACATTTCTTTAGAAATCTAACTAAACTAACTATAATCTAGCTTTTAAATTAACTGAGCAACAAAATGCTTACATAGCAATACTGAAACTTGCTTAGAAGAGCAATAACTCGTACTTTTCAAACAAAAACATCTTTCAACAAATGAAGTTAAATTGTAACATTCGAGGTCATTTAATAATCACTTTAACTTGACATTTATTGGCAAAATAATTTATTTTGCCAATAAGTTATTAAGCATTTCCAATATAGAATTGTAATGGCATTCATTATTTCGCTCATATTTGATTAAGCTGTGACAATATTTGATATTTTAAAGAAAGCACAAGGCAATAAATAATGGGAAATAAACACAGACTGGACTTACATGCTGTAAAGAGTCTATTTACACATAAAAAACTATGATGAACTGTTCAAATTAACAACTAGATTAGGAATTGTCTGCGGGTGCTGCAATTAAACAGCTAAGCAAATTATGTTACTGATTTTTGCTGCGCAACACCTTCGGTAATCACTTACCGTATTTTCCAATTGTTTTATTGTGTCCAGGTCTGTCACAATTTGCGTTCGGCCGACTACGTCAAGCATTTGCGTGTTGTTATTTTCAACTGTTTGCTCTGTCGTTGCCATTTTCGCAATTTTCTAAAAAACGACTTGGCTTGAGAATCCTTTCTCTGAATGAAAAGACAAAAAATCAACTCAAGTTTATTCATATTTGAACTGAAGTTTTCTGGGAAGTCAATAAAGCGTCAATTTTAATCAATTTAATCAGATATTACGAACTTGATACTCAATTACAAATACGCAGCGAAAATTCTTTATTTGAACCGGCTAAAACCACGATACAAAAAGTAATCGGTATTAAGTACTCACTTTTTTTCCTGTCACACGAAAATGTTCAAAGGATGTAGTAAACGTATAGTGATAAAAGTCAAAACGTCTTTCACTAAGTGTGCGTCATCGAACCGCCATATTGCAAATGCAACCAGCTTTGAAAATTGGGAATACATATGCAGAGTATTCACCCGACAACAGCATGAGGTCTTGTGAAACGGCATCTAATTTAAAATAATAATTATAATAATAATTGATCATATATTATAAAATTTTCAGGGTGTTAACTTGACGCTTTTTAAGTACGACAATTTTTGTGTTTTAATCGACATTACTTTTTCCCACACTTTGCTCCTTTACTCTGATCTTCGTTAATAACTGGTGTTATAGTCCGTTCACACGATCCGGTTTGTGAAAGGAAGCCGACTAGCCTCAAACTTTTTACTCTCTCTACCTCCCAAAATTGACAGGTAAAAGACTCGAAAACAAGAATAAAAATACGCAATATATCAATAACTGGTATATTGCGTATTGATATATTGCGTATTTTTATTCTTGTTTTCGAGTCTTTTACTAACTGGTGTTATAGTCCGTTCACACGATCAAAGTTAATAACTGGTGTTAAGCTGGATTTCCACTTCCCGGTAAGGACGGTAACGGTAAACGTTAAACGGTACACATGAAGGAAATTTTCCGTTTATTAATTTCCTCTTGTTTTGGCGGACATTTTAAAACAGATGCGCATCATCGTGGCTAAACTTAGAACAAAAACATTAATGATGCTGTTGCTATTGAAAAGAAGAATGCAACTGCGAAAAAAATACAAAAAGAGAATGTGGGTTCGAAGAATATTTCAGGAAAGAAAACAAAAAGGAGAGTTTCACCTTCTTGTAGAAGAGATGAGACTTTTTGATAGGGAATACTACTTCAAATACATCAGGTTGTCCGTATCCCAGTTCGAAGAACTTTTGCAGCTTGTTGCTCCTAAAATCGCCAAGTGCAGTGAAAAAAGAGAACCAACATCTCCGAGGAATTGGTGGCAAGCATATAGTCATGCAAGCTCCAGCAAGATCAGGGTCGAGTTTCTTTAATTATAAAAAAACTCACTCAATTGTTCTTTTAGCAGTGTGCGATGCACAATACCGGTTCACCCTCGTAGATATCGGAGACTCGGGCAGAAATAGTGATGGAGGCGTTTTTTCTAGTAGTAATCTAGGATATGCAATAGAACATGATCTTTTGCATCTACCCAGAAATGAGAAGATACCTAGATCAGAAAACAAATTTCCTTATGTTTTTGTTGGGGACGAGGCATTCCGTTTGTCTGAGCAACTGATGAAACCCTACCCACGCGAGGTACTCTCTTTGAAAGAGAGGATTTATAACTATCGTTTGTCTAGAGCTAGGAGGGTCATTGAAAACTCATTTGGCATAGCTGCTGCACGTTTCCGAATTTGGCGACGCCCTATTATTGGTAAAGTTGACTTGGTCGTTTGTACAACAAAAGCAGTTGTGGCATTGCATAATTACTTGATGCATGGCAATCTTTTGAGGCAAGTAGGTACTGTCCTCCAGGTTTTGCAGATACCGAAAACAGCTATGGATTTAAAAAAGGAGCCTGGCGCAACGAAGTAGAAGCATTTCATAGCACAGCTGGGTTGGCTGACATTCAACAACTTGGTTCTAATAATTACAGTAAAATAGCCAAGAGAATACAAGAAAATTTTTGTGATTATTTCATGTCTGAGGCAGGGCAAGTACCATGGCAATTGAAGCATGTCACAGCAACACATGAATAATACAAGTTATCTTTAACTGGGTTTGACAATTGTTGGAGCATTCATTAATGAAACATGTACATATGAGTAAAGTAGAACATATATAATGTAGAAAGTTTGTAATTTCTTAAGTTTTAAGTATGCTAGTTTTCTAATAAACTTGTATAAAAATACCCACATATAACCAGAATTTTAATGCTCTAATCGTGATAAGGCCTTCAGAAAAAGCAACTGTAATTATAAATGACAAAACAACAAGCATCAGTTGAAAACCAATTTACCTTCAACAAAACACACTAGAATTAAATAAAACAAGAACTTAAACATCAAAATGGTATTTATAGTTCCAGTTAATGCAGTTATATAGCATGCAGTTAATCATTCATCATCAATGTCAAAGCTCATTAATACCTCTAAAAGTTTGATTCTAGCTCTCTTGTTCTTCTTAGATGAGAGTTGTTTTAAAGGTGCCACCAGACTTTTACAAAAAAGTAAATCAGAATCATTTGTGTCTTCACCAGATTTATTAATGTCTTTGACTATTGCTGCAGTAAGAGCTGCATTCAAAGGGTCATCATCTTCTTTCGCTTTCGAGTTTCGTTGAGGCTGCTATGATTTCTGAGGATGGTTTGGGCTTGGGTGATGGATTTCTCATTCCAGGTGCAGCAATTGCTTTTTCATTGGAACTGCCTGAGGATACTTGAGTTAAATCAAATGGTGACGATGATCGACTATCTGATAGTCTGGGTACATTCACATTGCTTGTTGATTTTCTATTAGAAACACTATCTCTAAGGAAACTCAATTCAACAAAGAAGGCACATGTGGGTAACTTTTTTGCTTCTGCTCCAGATCGTGATTCCAATTCTCTCTTTTCAGACACTTTCGAAATTTTCTCTTAACCTTTGAACTCATTTTCTGCTTCAATTGCTGAAAACATATGGGTAAAATAACTAATTGTTGTCAAAAGCATACCAAGTCACAAATTTAAAAAGAAAGCACAACACAACATGTGGTGTGCAATACTCGCAATATTTTTATACACATCTGGTTTAATAGCAAAAAAATAAATGCATCTGCAAATGAGTTTATGAACAAAATATCAATATCATCTGAAGTTTTGCTATGGACTTTACATAACTAGGACAAAACTAACAATATGGTTTTTTAGATGTAATGCTAGGCATGCAAACACACAGGTATAAACACATGAAATGGCATGTAACAAAGTAAAAACATGAGAGATTTTTCATTTCTGGTTACCACAATAAACATGATAAGCTTCCTGCTTGTCATTTGTCAAAGGATGCTTTGTCATTGATGCATATTTAGAGACTGTACCTTGCACATGGAGTTGCTCTGAAATTTTTAACCATGCTTGTTTCTTCATAACACTGTTCTTGAACCCTTTGGACTTCAAATCCCATAGGCAAGGATAATTCCTCACTTCATCAATCAAATTACTACTGAAGTGATTCTGACTTTGTAAAGAGTACTCGCTCTCTTCGTTATGTCCAAAATTGTATTATCACTGGTTTGGCTAAGCAGTTGCTGCTCCTTGGAAACATCTTCAGTCGCCGTCGTCTTCTGCATTATATCTTGATCCAATATATACGTGCATTCTTCAGATCCAGTAAATATTTGGCTACCATAATAATTGACATGCGGATTGCTTCTCTGAAAACTTAATAATTTTGTGAGCATCAATTCAGTATTATCCGCCATCTTGCTACTACCCAGGAGTCAATTTTTGTGGTATAATTTGATTAGCTAAAAAGTGAAACGGTATGAATTCCGCGGAAAAAAGTTGACTTGACTTCAACTTTCAAAATTGGAAAGCAGTACGGTGTGCATACCATTTTGCGGTGCTACATTTTCTACTGCGCATGCCTGTACCGTTTGGCGTTTACCGTTTTCCGTCCTTACCGGGAAGTGGAAATCCAGCTTTATAGTCCGTTCACACGATCCGGTTTGTGAAAGGAAGCCGACTAGCCTCAAACTTTTTACTCTCTCTACCTCCCAAATTTGACAGGTAAAAGACTCGAAAACAAGAATAAAAATACGCAATATATCAATAAATGTACTGGATAGCACAATTGGCTGCTGTCAAGACTATATAGTTATCCAAGCGAATATAAATATCAACAAAGTTATCGGACCGTCTGAACAAACAACCAATTAAAAGTCGGAAACCGAAACAATTGGATCCTACAAAACGGGTTGTATGAACGGGCCTTTAAACCTACGTTCTTATATTGACAACAGAATTAAAGAATATCCCCTTTATTTATTCACTGCCTACTCGTTCGTTACTGATTTATTTTGAATTCCTGTGATGGTGTTAAACAGTGCTAACCATCGGCTTCATTTATATCAAACTCCAGTATTACTTTATCAATATTCGTTCGTAAAGTTCCTTTAGAACCTGTTCTTCTCTCTTGAAAGACATTGTCATTGATACTACGCATTACATGTCTTGAGGGACGTCAGTTATATCTGTCTCTTGATTCAATACAACATCTTTTAATTGGGTTTTTGACGCTTTTTTAATCTCCTTTTCACAATTTCTCTTCTCACAATTGCGCCATTTCTTTTTGAGAAGCGGCATTCCATCTTTTTCATCAAAGGTTAAGACAGCGACTTGGATTGTACGAACGTATTGACAACCATTGATAAAAATTTTACCTTTTGTGTTATCTCGAACCTTCACCTTACCTTTCTTAAGGTACATACACGGGTGTAACTGTTGGGGGGGTGTGGGGGGTGCGACACCCCCCAATTGCTGAAAGCTGTGTTTTTGCAGGGCATATTGCCGTCAAGTGACAGGGCAGTGTTCAGAAAGTAGAAAAATTGCCATACCATTGAAAACAACTAAATGATTACTAAGTGGAAATAACAAACCTTCATTTTTGACAATTTTGGCTTAATTCTACAGTGCAACGTGTCTGTGAGATGTGTAAGATGAAGTAAGTATAAATGCAGATACAGATTCCGCTGGATACTGTTAAGATATGCTCTCATATTCTTCCTGTAATTGGTAAATAATTAATTATTGATTATTTTAAGAGATATTTATGTGCAATAATCACAATATTTTTTATAGTTCCTAATAGCTTTCCGTTGATTGTAAATTAACCATATTTAGTAAAGAAACAAATATATCCACACGTAATATCTTGTATAAATATAAGTAATTTAACCATTGTACGATAGATCGTAGACCATAGACATTGACGTTGAACATTAAATGTGATCATAACAGTTATCTGTAATATCTCTATTTGTTGGTGTAAGTCAATATATACTAAAGAAGGTAGATGGCTACATCACAAAACCTAACTGATACAATGATTGCAAATGTAA